GGAGGAGGAGGAGGAGGAGGAGGAGGATGTTCGAGATTTGCACTTTAGTGAATATAGGCTTCGCTGTTGTTTCACATCCAGGGTGTCCCGACTAGCGGGACAGGTGGACATCATAGCGTGACGACTCCGTTTCCGTTGCGCTCTGGCTCAAGGCAAAACAAGTGTCGGACTTCTCGCTCCCACAGTTGGTAGCGGAGCGCGGTCCAGCCAGGCGAGCCATGGGTTGGCGACCGGGCGTGACGCTTGGCTCCCGCCGCTTGCGCGCTCCTTGGCCAGGCCGCGCCCGCACCGGCGTGTGTGGCAGGGATCCACGGCAACTGGGACGCCGCTCGGCAGCGGCACGGCGGCGGCCTCCAGCAAGGGTGCTCCAGCGAGCGCAGAGTCCGCCGACGATGGGACAGCCGCGGTCGCGGCGCCTGGGCTCGATGGGGAGAGCTTGGAGCCTCTCATCGCAGGAATAGTCCGAGCGACTATTGCGAAGGGCGCAGGCTCTGCTGGCCAGGTGCCAGACAGTGAGCAAGCAGCAGGGGACCCATGGGATGCAGCAGACCCGTGGAGTTCCGCGACGCAGGGAACACCAACATAGATGAGCCAATTTGGAGGCGCTACGAGAAGCTTGCCAAGATGTTCGAGTGGATGTTCTTGGCCCACTTCGAGGACCTACGAGAAGATCATATGACTGCTCCAGAGTGTCAAGACACGGTTCTCTCAAGGATGGATCTTCTTGCTCGCGAGCGAGAGGATGATGAACTTCGTAGGTCGGGGCGGAAAACTTTTTCGAGGTCGCCAGAGAATCCAACGAGATGCTGACACAGTACGTCAGCCGACGAGAATCACAACTTCTAGAAGCCGAGGCGAATAAGCTCTGGAGGTCACCCAAGTTCCAGAGACTGATGCTAGAAGAAGGAGCGGGGCTGACTTCGCAAGGATTGCAAATATCTTCGTGCTTTGACCCAGGGCAGGCTGGATTTTGTCCAGCGTCTCCTGGGCTCTTCGTCAGATGGACTCGAGTGGCTCCGAGCGTCTCCTGCCAGGCCGCCCGGGAACGGGCGCCATGTTGGCGTCGTCGGGTTCTGAGGACCGAGGTCCGGCTGAGCACAGCGACAGTGCTTTTCAGGCCCCCCCTTCTCCCCGCCTCCGTCGGTCCGAGTTCGGCGACGCTGCCGTCGGAGAGGAGCCCGAGGATTTTTACGACGAAGATGTCGAGGACGTTGCCAGCCAGGACCTCGACGAGACTGCAATTTTGGCAGAGTTTGAGGACCTCGATCTTCAGGAGGGCCAGGTCGACGAAGCCCTGGCCATGGTCGAAGCGAAGGCGACGAGTCGCACTTTGAAGCAAAACAGGGGCCTCAAGCGCGCGGCTCGCAAGGGCCGAGGGTGCTTCAGGGCGGAGGCCCCGCCGGCCCCCCCAGGCTTCCGACCCCGGCTCGCGTGCGCGGAGGCGGCCGCGGTCGCGGCA